CATCATCAGAATCATCTCGGCGAATATTCATGAAACATTTTGATAAGACTCTCTTGATGAAAACTACCTTGATTGAACTCACGAATTCTTCACTTATACATATGTTACACGACCTTCGATCGAAAAAATCCTCGGTATTGATAAATTTTATATTTTTTAAATTTTGTACAGTCTTCTTAATAACTCTTAAGCTTGTATTCATTAGTAATGACATAATTTAAAATATCGCGTTACTTAAATCTCGCAACTAAAATTGAAACCCGCGCCACAAATGTTAGAACGGATCTGCAACCATGTTCATGGTATATGAAGGTAGATACGCAATAAAATATATCGAAATTAACTGTTTAAAAGTGAAAGCGCAAGTGAAACTTAGATAGACAAATAATTATTCTTATCGAAAATATCATAATTTACGTACAAAAATATATATCCTTTATCATTTAGTCTGTTATAAATGTCATAAAGGCAGGGCTCTTTAAACGTACGCCACGTCACTGTCGACATCGATTATACTCTTATGAAATGATCGAGCTCTCGCGCACTTTCTTCTCAGTACTGTCTGTGTACATTCGCTCAGCTGTTCTCTGGTCCGAAGCAATCGCGGTTCGTCCGATTGCACAAATTTTCGAAGCTTTGGAGTTTATTTTTAGTATCAGTGCCATGTCGTTTTGGTACGATCCTCGTGGATTTTTGCTGCGTAAGAGCACGTTGCACGTTCTTTGATTTGGTCGATATGAGAAAACATTTTCTTCATTGACAGACCTCGTTCGCCAGTCACCACGGTTATCAGAAATTTGACATTAATACGGGATCGATGCGCACCGCAAATTGACGTTTAACTTCGGTTGCAACGCTTAAAAACCAATCATGAAGAAAACACGCTCAAACATATTTCGTGACATTTATTACCAGCCGTACAATGATTATACCAGATTGAAGCTTTACTCCAGCAGTAAAGGTATTGTGTGTTATGCTTTCAAGCGAGAATTTGACGATGTTATTGTACAATGTAGTATGATGTAAAATATTAAGATGTTTTATTTTCAAAATGAGAAAGGGAATTATTAAAAATGTTTAGAAATCGTATTTTGCGTTTCATAAAATGACTTGTAATAGAGTCTTCTAGATTTAGTTTTTTTCATAAATATAATTGCATTGTTATTAATAAGAGATGTAATGATTGTTATATTTGTCAAGTAGCTTGAAATTTTAAATGCTTCATATATGTACGTTTAGCAAGCCTTCAAATGATGCAACGTATGGCATTATTGAAACGATTAAAAGTTCATAATGGTTGTGTAAACTCTGTGTGTTGGAATTCTACTGGAGAACTGATATTGTCTGGCAGCGATGACCAGCATCTTGTTCTTACAAATGCTTATAATTATGAGGTAAGTACTCACTATCATTGTCTCATTTTTTTTTTGTCGTATTCAATTGAATCAGGAGCTTGTCCAATATTGCTGTTGTAATTAATTAATTTTATTATTAAAATAAAATAAATAATCTTAATTTGTTATTAATCAGTTTGTTTAATTGATATGATTTTTGCGCAAAAAGGATCAAACTATAAATAAATTTGTATATTTGTTGTATCAAAATACTTTTTATTTTATGATATGCATGTGTTAATTTTACCTATATTTGTGTGTCTTATAAAGTTCCGTGCCAAGGTTATTTTTATTTTCACCCTTGACAAAGCAATTTAAGACTCGCACGTGTGTTTCTTTATTAACATATTGAGCTGTTGTTAATATTTTTATTTATTAATAAGAAATATATGGATAATTACATGTTTTTTACCGTAGGTTTGCATTTTTTTATCTGACAATATTAAATTTGTTGTGACAGTGTTATTATATTATGACAGCGCTATAAATATATCTGAATACCTATAATACACATCATAGGATAAAATTATTTCTGATATATTATGTTAATATCTATCAAATGTGTTTGTCATGATTTATTTAAGTCTATTACATAAGATTAAGTGGAAGCAAGATTTAGTAAAAGAAAGTACACTTAAGGGAATATCATTGGCAATAATTCTTTTTCAAGGAAATGTCATAGATGGTTTAATTCTAGTCAAGGTCTAACATTGACATAGATAGAAATGCAGAAGCTTTGCCAAATGAATAAAAACCCTTGTGTGTAATACATGTATGCTAATTTTATCATTTAGAATCATCGATCTAGAACTATCTCACTGATTAAATAGGATAAGATGTTATATATATATTTACTGCTATAGGAAAGTGAACATAAACGAAAACATTAACAATAAATTTCATTTATTTGCAGGTATTAACAGACTATAAGACCAGTCATAGAGCAAATATATTTAGTGCAAAATTTTTGCCTAATAGTGGTGATCATCGGATAGTTTCTTGTAGTGGTGATGGCATTATTTTGTATACAGGTGAAGATTCAGTGATCTTCGATTAAACGCGGCGACAATGAAATAGTTCATAACAGCAGAACTTTGGTTACAGATTTATTAAGAAGAACGAAAACGTTTAATAATCAATTTAATTGCCATGTCGGTACTACGTACGAAATAGCGACAATACCCGGTGAACCGCATAATTTTTTAAGCTGTGGGGAAGATGGCACTGTAAGATGGTTTGATCTTAGAATAAAGGACAAGTGTAATGCCTCAAGGTGTACAGAGGATGTGTTAGTTTCTTGTGAAAGAGCTATAACTGCTCTGTCTGTAAATCTTGCTTCACCTCATCAAATAGCAATAGGTTGTTCTGATAGTACTGTTAGAATACTTGATAGGAGAACACTTGGAACTCCAGCTACTGGTAACTGGAGTATTTAACATAATGAAAGAATCCAAAAATACGTGCAATTGAAAGACGCATTGAAATAATTTTTTCAGGGTGGACAGATACACCTGGAGCGGTAAAGGCCTTATGCACTTTCACAGTGCCGGAATTCGAAGGGAATTCTTATAGAATAACATCTTTGAATTACAGCCCAGATGGGCAGGATGTTCTTGTTAGTTATAGCAGCGACCATCTATATCTGTTTAATATAAAGGTAAAAAGACATTTTCCTTTCATAGAAATATGCGTACCATGTTATAAAATCGATCGATTTATTTAGGACCAAGCTAGTGTACAGTTAAAGAAAGACGTCGCAGTTAGAAAAGGTGAAAGTAAGAAGCAAAGGTTGCGCTCGCCATTACCAGTGCGTAGATTAAGACTTCGAGGAGATTGGTCCGATACCGGTCCTGATGCTCGGCCTGAATGCGAGGGCGGTCGACGTAGTGGTACAGGTATATGAAAATTAAACGTCTACTATTTTTAATTTGACGATACAACAATATGCACGCGTATTTTCTCGCATTTTAGAAATTGCTCAAGCCAGACCTGTTCTTCAAACTTCATTGATGCAAAGAATGACGGATGTTCTCAGTAGGATGTTGAATGATCCAGCTACTAGAGCCGCATTATGTGGCGGCGGCGAAGATAGTTTAGAAAGCGTCATCGACCAACAAGAGAACACTCAAAATACCAACGAAAACGTTACGGAGTCAAATGAAGAGAGACAAGACAACGAAACTGAAAGAGCCTTGACTCAGGCTAATCAAGAAAGAGGTATTTATTTACATTGTGTTGTATATAAAATTGTCTGATCTCGGATTATCAAATTAATGCAGACAATTCATAGCTGTTCCAGAAAAACAGATTAACGGTTTAGAAAGTCCAGGTACTAGCGGTACACAAAGTAAACCTGGAACGAGTTATTCTGCAGAAACAAAAGAAGAAATGTCCAGTGAAACCATGCCTTCGAATCAAATGACCGACGAGAGTTCGTCGTCGGTCGAACCCAAATCACATGTTCCTATGGAAACTGAATCTAGTCAAGTAGAAACGGAACAGTGTTCTGTTCAACCGTGTTCATCGCGTACTATCGATAGGACTAATGATCTGCCGGAAGATGATCAAAGTAGCAATGATGATTCTCCTTGTAACAGCATGGAGACTAAACAAGAAGGTCATATGATGGAAAATCTTCAAGATAGACTGACGAAAATGAGAGTCGGATTCCTTGAAAAGTATGATATCTAAGAAAGAGTAATACTAAATGAATTCGTACAACAAATGGAATGTTTTTATTCGTTTTACATTTTACTTACAGGCATGGTAGTGAACCCGCTGTAAGTTTAACTTATACGGATAAAAGTTCAACAAGTGCAACGATATCTCTTGGTGTAGCCGATGAGATGATCCGTGATGGTTATCATGCGGGTGAATATATTATTATTTATTATTTATATTATTTATATTATTTCTTATTATTCATACTATTATGTATTATTATTACTTATGCACTATAGGACCATCTGGAAGCAGTGGAACATTCTCGGGCAGAAATCATGACAAACATATACGATATAATGATACGCAAGAAAGTAAGTAGATAGAACATAAATAAACGATGTTTTTCAGAAGATCAGAAATCATATATGTTATCTTTTTGACAGAGACTGATGAAAGCGCTTTTAGTGATAGTGACGATGAAGATATACAAGCTGGTGGAAGGTACATTATAAATATTTGAAATGCTATAATTAGAACAAAACGTTTACATGAAATATTTGATTAAAAAATTATGCTTTTTTTTTTAATAATCCAGATTAGGAAGTTCAGCAGAAACAGAAATGGAAGAGGCTATGGGAGACGTTCGAACGCGCCGAGGATCAGTGAATTTCGATAAAACATGCGCAACAGAGCTTCGTGTCAAGCAGAAATACATGGGACACCGTAACGCTAGGTATACTGCTATTTTTTTTTTCATTGTTGTAACTTCAATGTGGTGGTCGCCAACGATTAACGCAATTCACGCGAAATAAACGATGAAATCTTGAGAAGGCTATACATGATTAAATCGTGTGACTAAATGATTAACATGAAATCTGTTGCAATCGAAATCTCTTTAATCGGCTAAATGTTGGATAATAATCAACAAGGGTGACGTCGTAGAAAAAAAAAAAAAAAACAGTAGAATTTTGATAAAACACCAATTCTATTTGGCGAGTTTGGTTTCTTGAAAACTTTCATCTTCATTTACTCAGTTTGTTAACGTTTGTACTCAATGTGTCCGTGCACTGATGTTTTGAGCTCCTGTCGGAAACCATAATTGTTGACACGCTTTGAATTCCGAAAAAGCCTTCGAACGGTGTATATGGCATATATCGTATAAGGCCGCCATATTTTCTGATCCGTTGGTCTTCCTTCCCCCCGTTTGACTTTAGTTTCTTTAGGACTATGATAAAAGAAGCAAACTTTTGGGGCAACGATTTCGTCATGTCGGGTAGCGATTGCGGTCACGTGTTCGTGTGGGAGAAAGATACAGCGAAATTATGTATGTTACTGGAAGCAGATCAACATGTCGTTAACTGTTTGCAACCACATCCGTATTTGCCACTGCTCGCAACAGCTGGCATTGATTACGACGTTAAATTATGGGCACCGATAAACGTGGAGTCCAGCTTTGATGAAAAGTTTGCAGAAGATGTAAGTGCTTATATGTCATTCATCATTTGATACATACGGTGGAGTAATGCAATACACGTGCATTTTACAGCTGAAAAAGAGGAACGCAGTCATGTTGGAAGAGACGAAAGACACAATGACTGTACCGGCTGTGTTTATGATCAGAATGCTGGCATGTCTGAATCAGATACGCAGAGGTAGTGAAAACTTATAATACTTTCCAAGATATTTTCCGATAGTACACTACATTAGTATGACCAACGTAATTAAGAGTAAAATACTGAAGAAATTCGGCTGCTTTTCCCGTTTAACGTGCAGGTATCGGAGTAAATAACGATGTACAGAGTTTTTATCTAACAGCTTCTTTTTATTCACATTTGTGAACTTGTCCATAGTTTTTGTAATTCCACCATTACCATGAATTTTCATCATACCCTATTCTGTTTTTTTTTATATATATATATTTTTTTAAAGAAATTCTATCTAAGATATCTGTATAGATGTAGGGGGTATGCTTGTTTACAAATATGTTACATATATTTAAAAAAAAAAAGAAGAGATTTAGTAGAGAAGGATGAAATGAAGTACAAAGTCTTAGACAATTTCAAAGTCTTAGAGGCTATAAAAATAAAAAGGAAAGGAAAAAATAACAAAATGTTGATGGTCCAAAAAGTATGACCTAACTGATAATAATATTAAAAGGATAACATAGTAATGAAGTATGACGGTGAATATGACGTAAACGATAATAGTAATAATAAAAGATGAAAAAAAAGTTTTGTAATTTTTTATGTAGATAAGAAATTTTCATATGTATACAAGAAAGAGAACGAGAGAGGAGCAAACATCGATTAAATGACATATGCATGTAATGTCATATCGATATTTTATCATTCCGAATTATTGTAGCGATGAAAATAAAGTTTCTAATTAAAACACGAAATATCTTTAATATTGTGTGTTTTTCACCGTCGAGTGTTTTTTTTTCTTTCTCTTTTTTTTTTTATCGTTGTAAGATTATCGCGAGCGATAAACAATAAACAATCGTGTTCCTCTACTCCAGAATAAAGTTTAAAACGGTATTAATTCTTTACATTGTAGCTAACGAACTAAGTCACGGTATGGACAGGTATTTCACGTAAATCTATCTCTATATACATATACATGTGTCTTTATTCATAATTAGATTAATACTAGCTAGCACGTAACGTATATCGAATGAAACTTATGCAACATCATTGATTTTTCCTTTCTTCATTCCTCCATTGGTTCATCTAGATGATTTCATCTGGAATTCTACTATTAAACCAATCAATGAAAATCATTCCTTTTCTTCATTTAAAAGAAAGAACAGAAAAGTCTACGTCTGCGAAGTGTTACGCTCTCTCGAACGTCATATATGAATATTTATATACATTAAATTATGTAATCTACTTTTCTTTTCAAATACACTCGATCAGCATATTCATTCTTTTATTGGCGTTTCTTGTTTCGCGTGTTGCGCAAAATTATCTTCATTGTGCTACAATAAAATAGGAGGAACGTTTCCTTCGTAATTTTATATCCCATCAGGCTATCATTCTATATCTTATTATAGTTTATTATCAATGTCATTTTATTTTGTCCTCCTCGTTCACACGGATAGATCACCAGAAGAACACTCGACGCAGCACGCCGCGTTTAGCTCGTTCCGGTCATTTGTACTCGTCAGTGAACAATAGTAGTTTATTATTGTTAGATTATCATCCACTGGTTGAAACGAGATATCACAGAATGATTCCGATTCTTTTGTAGGTCGCGGTCGGAACCGGAGGAGGAACGGCGACGAGACCGGCGAATTACGAGGTGGCTAAGCTGTTTCCGGCGATACTGTCGTCTGTGAAGATCTGAGATTTCAATTGGGACAATCTTTACTGCGGCTGATCAGAGTTCGAGTTTGTCCTCAAACTGAAAAGAAAAAAAAAAAAAAAAAA